TTTTAAGAAAATTTATCTCCATATTTTCATATAATTTTTAAATTAAAAACCAGCTGATCTAAAAGCCTTTGTGTGGATATAAAAGTATATCCAGTAAGCAATAGAAGCACTTCCATTCAGGGTTCTAATGATAGTGCATGGACATGTGTGTTAACAACATGTTATGTCATGTTAAACATGTATGCATGCATGTCTGTGCAGTAGCCACACATCTCACCTAACAGGGCTTCTGTAACATGCTGTTTTCAAGATTATAATCCTGTCAATGTGTTTCTTTTTGTGTCCAGGCACTCTGGCTACACAAAGATGAGGTAGATACAGTGAAATGTTACAGGGGAGGCACTTCTCATAAATTAGCATAAAAAGTAACTGTGGAGACAATCCAGATACCCCAGTGCGTTGCTTCTGTCTCTCCAGGAATGATGAATAGGAAAGAGACACTCAAAATACTATGACATTCTGTGTTCAATGTTACTTCTTATCAAACTTCTTCAGATATAAGTTAGGGGTGTAAAAAGCAACAGAGGAGAATAAGAGGTTCTACCAGGATATTTTATGATCATTAGTGAATACGTCTATGATCTTGCTTAGTTTTTTGTCAAAGAATGATTAAAAGTATTAAAATTTTAAGTAAAAATGTTTCCATTCGCACAAGGTTTTTGATCATATTTTCTTTTTCTAATATGGCATTTTAAAGCCACGTTTAATAATGGTGAAATCTGGTATTAACGATGCTGTTTAAACCAAGAGCCGTCTTCTAGCTCACTTCAGTGTCCATCAGGGGCCCAGCTCAAGACACTGGCTGCGTCTGTGCCACCTCTCCAAATAAGACTTGCACCCAGAGGGAACATGCCTGGACAAAATGTCAGAGAGAGAAAGTGGGACAGATATTTTTAGTAGAATTTTTACAGTCCTCGATGAAATCAGTGAGGATAGTTGTTTGACAAGGACGCATTATCCATGCTGATTCCACAGCTGTTTCACGGAATTTTCATACTCTGCTCAGCTCAAAAATATGGGAAGAAAGGGAACACCACACCTTACTCCAGATTTCAGAATTTACGTAAATCTTAAGTCTTTTAAAATATTCATGTGATTGGAATAGGATTGAAATGGAAACGTCGAAGCATGCTGTGGACCATATTGAAACTTATTCAGTCACAACACTTAAAAATAATTTGTCAAAAGTTGACAGTTTTTAATACTTTATAAAGCAACTTATCATCTGCACTTGAAATTGACTAACACATGTTTAGATAGATAACTCCATGTCAGGAGAAATATCAGCAGAGAGAACTTATCGATATATAACTCAAAATAAATGATCAAATTAAATTTAAAATGCAAAAATATAACAAATAATCGAGGTGAGCCTAGGTTTAGTAATGAGATTTCAGATACAACAACAAAAGCATAATTCATGAAAGGAAAAAAAGCACAAAATTTCCATACAGTAGACAGACCTCATTATAATTGCAAAGTCTTGCTCTGCTGAAGGCAGTTTTAAGACAATGAAAAGACAAGCCACATACACACACCAACCTCCGGGGATAATTTTTGCTGTCTCTTCCCTGTGCACTCTCGCTGAGCTGTTTGATGCTCTTACAGACGCCCACTCCCTCTCACCTCCTGAAGTGTGTCCAGCAGTCTTCCCTGCAACTCAGGGCCTGCTCGCCTAACCTGTGTCCAGGTGTCCATTGGTTGTGTTGTTTCCATGTAGTTCCGCATTCCAGGGTCTGCTGCTCTTGGCCTGAGCAGGTACAGCCCCTGTGGGACCCAGGAGCGGCTCTTGCTGGGCCTTTCCTGCTCCCTGGCTGTGTCCGTCAGAGTGGGAAGGGGCCGTCCCGGGGCAGGACCTCCTGGCAGCACCTGTCACTCAGTGAAGATCCTGTTTACTTTGAATTATCAGTGGATGGAGGATGTTTTGAGGAGGTTCTCTCATTCTAATCCCACTCGCATTGGTTTGGCATGTGGGGCCGGGTGGAGGCATCACTGGTGGGGGTGGTGTATGTTCCTGGACCAGCTGTTCTGCTGGTCCTCCCAGCTGTGTCCTCCTCCACACCAGCCCCAGGCAGCAAAGCATGAATCCGGAGGCAAGCAGCACACAGTGCAGAGCTGAAGTCTTCCTGCAGCCTGTCACTGTCTTTGCTCAGTTGGGGAACGACTTCACTCAGGAGCACGTAGTAATTTAGTGACTCCTGGCACGTGTGCCCTGTGAATCAGAGCCCATCTGATTTACTCAACATTGAAACCAGAGTAGTGGCCTGAGTGAACCTTAGATAATCGTGCGTCTGATGAACCATCAGAAGTCATGCCAGCCTCACATGTCTGAATAGCATGCCTTGAGACCACAGCAGTCCCAGGGATTCTGGACACCCGTCTCCGAGATAGTGGGGAAACTGAGGCAGCCCCAGGTGTGCATCCAGGGACAGACAGACGTGGCCCTGTGTTTTGCCTAGGAGCAGGGAGGGTTGTGTCTTCTGGAGTTGTGAGTGCCATGAGTTGGGCTGTGCGTTAGCCTCTGCTTCCAGCTGGGGCAAAACTCTGGGATGGAGTCGTTTCCACAAATGGCAAACTCAGCGGAGCTTTCCCCATCACTGTCATCACTTATCCCCATACTGGTTTAGGCATGCCAGTGAGTGCCCTGGGGTGTGGTTTTATAAATATTTATGAAAAATCAAGGGATTACTCCCAGGCGATTTCAGATGTTACTCATTAGATTCCTCTTTTTTTCAGTCCTTCTCTCTTCCTTCCCTCCTTCCCTCCTTTCTTCCTCCCTCCCTCCCTTTCTTATTTCTTCCTACTGTGACAATCAGGGCCTGGTGGAGGGAGCAAAGAACTTTCCCTAGACTCTCATTGAGTCTGTTTCTACATAAACAGTAACACCACTGCTCCTTGTCAGTATTTACATCATTTTCCAACAGTGTGGAAGGCTGCCTACACAAATTTAATAGCTCACATCTGTGCTAAGAATGAATGTGATTATATTTTTTCTTTTTCCCAGACACATTGATGATATAAAAGTAAATCTTTTATAACAATATTGGGTGGACAATTTGCTAGAAAATGAAAAAAAGAAATGAAGCAAAGGTGTTGATATTAATGTCTGATAGAGAATGATTCAAGGCAAAAGAAAATCAAAGTGGACACAAAGGTCTTTTATACTGCGGAGATAAAACCCACAACGGAAATGCGATCAAGCAGAATATTAGAATCCATGGTATAGCTCTTCCCACTGAGCAGAAATATTGACTCAGATGTCAGTAATAACAGCATATGTTGACATTCCTATGTCTTCAATGGATCACAAAAACAAAATATCTGATAACTAATTCCATTGGCTTACTAGCTATTTATCCAAAAACATACCTTAAACCAAGCTATTATATTTTATTTGAATGCTTAAAGTGTTACAAACTAACCATTTCTCAAGAATAGCTAGAAATTCAAATATCCCAAACTCAGAAATTACATAGTCAACTTTACCAGCCATGAAGAATAAAACTGGATGTTATTATCATAAAGATAAAAATTATATTAAAAATTGCAAAATAATAACAAAATTCTAAAAAACCCCAGACACTCTTAAGTGACTGGTTAACATAAAAGTGTAGTTGGGACTAATGAGAACATGATGAAACACACAAGAGTAGCAATTAATACCACTTGTTCTCCTTGATAGGTCACAACTAACTGAGCACCAAAAAGGAAACCTGTTAAAGTGAAATAAACACTATGAGAAACGGTGACTTGATCAGCCCTCACCCTGACTGTTGATGAGCAACTTGATATGTTATCCCTCTTAGTATTTTTTTTTGTTTGTTCTACTTAATACCTTTGGTTGAATACTGTAATCAATACACAATTCTTCTTAAGTGCTGAAACTTAACTGAAAAGTGATCACTGTTAAATATAAGAGTGGGAATAAGAGAGGGAAGAGATGTGCAATTTGGGACATGCTCAAGCTGACTTACCTCAAACGGTAGAGTTAGAAACATACCAGGGGATTCGAATTCAATCCCATCAAGGTGGCATGTACCAATGCCATCTCACTAGTCCAAGTGATCAATTTCTGTTCACAATTGATCATAATGATAGGACTAAGAACCAAAGGGATCACATAAACAAGACTAGTGTCTGCAAATACTAGCTGATAGAATCAAAAAGGGAGAGAACGATCCAACATGGGAAGTGAGATACACAGCAGACCCATAGAATGGCAGATGTCCTAAACAGCACTCTGGCCTCAGAATCAGCCCTAAAGGCATTCGGATCCGGCTGAAAAGCCCATGAGAGTATTTCAGGCATGGAAAGCCAAGACACTCTGGAAAAAAAAAAAAAACCTAAATGAAAGATCTCTGCGAGTGAGATCCCAGTGGAAAGAACGGGTCATCAAAGAAGGAGGTACCTTTCTCTGAAGGGAGGAGAGAACTACCACTTTGACCATGGCCTTGTCTAAAAATGATCAGAGTCAGTGAACTCAGGGGGCTTCCATAGCCTTGGCAGCTCATGACAAGAGCCTAGGGTGATTACTGAGGCCATAAACAAGAGTGTCAATTTGTTAAGTCAACAACAGGAGTCACTGTGTACTTACTCCTCATGTAGGATCTTTGTCCTTAGTGTGCTGTACATTGAGATTTAATGCTATAGTACTCAAACAGTATTTTTCACTTTATGTTTCTGTGTGGGAGCAAACTGTTGAAATCTTTACTTAATGTATGCTAAACTGATCTTCTGTATATAAAGAGAATCGAAAATGAATTTTGATGTGAATGGAAGGGGAGAGGGAGTGGATAAGGGGAGGGTTGTGGGTTGGAGGGACGTTATGGGGGGGAAGCCATTGTAATCCATAAGCTGTACTTTGGAAATTTATATTCATTAAATAAAAGTTTAAAAAAAGAAAAAAAAAACAAAAAACAAACAAAAAAAATAAAAAATAAACTGGGAAAAAAAGTAGCAATTTATGGAAAATTTGCTGAGTGAGGGTGCACAGCTGTGTTCAAAGAAATTATGCAAGATGGAGCAAAGATTTTATTAACGCAAACTCTCTTCCAGTGATCCTTTTTGGGTTGACAGTGTCCTCATATGCAATTTATCATGTGGGACCTGGGACCACGAGCAGAGCTGTGGCGCTGACCAGACACCCTTCCCGTTCCAGATCAATGCCCTCCTGAGGCCGTGGTGACACTCTGGCTCCTGTGCGTCTTTCCCACACATCACGATGCCACTGCGCTGCCATGGAATTCAGGCTAAATAGACGTGGTGACGTTGATTGTTCTCACTGGGTCCCACACCACAAAGCAGGAGAGCAAAGCTGTGGCGGAGGTGGTCCTGCCCCTTCCCACCTGCAGCACCCGCCTGCCCTCCCCACCCACTTTGCTTTCCTCCGCTCCCTGCCTCCTTTCCTCCCTACCTTCTCTCATTTGTTGCTTCTGTCTTATAGATCCCACTGTGAAGAAATTTGAAATCTGATTTTATTTGGACCCCTACATCTAATGGAAATAACAGTCATTTGGATTTCACAAATTTATCTAAGTCCAGTCAGTAGATACGCATTTTACATGAAATTTTTGAAGATCCCTTACATTTTATCACTGATTGAAGATTTCCTGCCAGAGTTGATATTTGTAGAACACAAAATATCTGAGAGAGTTTTCTGGAATTTTCTTTGTTGAATGCCAAGTTGTAAACGGTGGTGTTGAAGGCTGGGGCTTCTGCGGAGACAGATAGAGTTCCTTAAGAAGAGATCCTACGAAATTTAAATTAATTCAAGTGTGCAAACAAAAAAATTATCTCAAGATGTGGACATTTGGAGTTATTGGTCTCAAGTCCCAACTCCATGTCTAGTCTACCTTTCTCCTAACATGTACTGAAGCATCACTTTGTATCTCATGAATGTATACAGCCACTTGCCATTTAAAAATAAAATTTTAAGAAAGAATAAAAAGAAAATTACATTGCTCTACATAGAGTATAACTAATTCAAATTGAACAATAATACTTGAAATAGGTATTATTTTTCCCACTCTCCAGATGAAAAATGGGAATGGCTACACAGTGGTTAGGTGGCTTGCCCAAGGGAACAGCTGGATGGGATATCCTATCTTATTTCAGGAATGTTGGGAATAACAAGGCACCCACTTGCAGGAGCTGGAGGAGTATACAGCTGCTTAAGGCCAGAGCAGAGAACTGGGAGAAACAGAGAGGGGGTAAGATTACAGTGTGGCAACAGGAAGGCCCAGGGAAACACGTTTCTAGGGAGAGGGTGGCGACAACTAGCCTGAGCTGCAGAGGACTGAGAGGACCCCAGCGAGTAGCTCCGTGGATTCGGGAAATGGAGTGCAGGCTCCATATTGGCCCCTGCCACACAGCTGTGCACCCTCACTCAGCAAATGCACCTGGATCCATTGCAGCCTGGGATGCCAGCCAGTGGTCAGGGACACAGTGGAGTCACTTGGATCAGACAGAACCTTACTACAGGGAGGCGGTGCTGCCCTGGTTGGCACACTACTCCATCCAGCTACCCTCAGCTTCTAGCGGGCACAGTTATCTCCAAATCCACGTAATTGGCCATTGCTTCACCCACTGGTATGAGAGAGGGTGTGGGGAGTGGGGAGTAGGAAGGGCTAGGAAGGAAAACAGGAGTGCATCACACCCAAGGAGTGCACCCTCAACCAGAGCTTCCTGCCCTCTGCACACTCTGTCCTCCTCCCACCCCACAGAAATCTCGTGCACAATTCACAGTTCTGAATATTGGTAATTTCTCCAAGGTTCCAGTTAAACTATCTAGGATACAATATTATATTCTAAAATATATCAGGATAAATTATTGTTATGGCTTTCCTTTTAAATCTAAATCCAGAAGATCAACTATCGTTCAAGTTTATAGATTAAAATATAATTTAATTCATCTTTGCCATTATTAAAAGAAAAGATTTCCATGTAGAATGAGTTTTAGAAGTCTTGAAAGACAGTTCTGATTTCCTTCGATGTGAAAATTGGTGTGACTACTAATCATAGAATATTTAATGTACATTTGCTGTCACTTAGTGAAGCTGGCATCACATTTCTGATCATAATGTTAAAGTATTTTTAGAGCAATACCATTATAAAAACTTTTACAAATTCCTTTAGGCTGCATAAACTCTAAAATCCTAATATATTCATAACATATTTATTAAAACAAAAGGTCAAGTACAGTATTTCAAAATTATTTGAAAATTAGCTTGAAGGCCAAGTCAACTGGGTGCAGTTGTGTTCTGAGATGAGGAAGTCTGTGAAAAGGTAAACCTGGAACAGCTCAGTTCAGTACTTGTAAATCTCAGTAATTTTATGCTAAACTCAGACTCATGACTTTGAATTCAAAATCTGTATGAACACCACCAAGGAAGTTGGTAATGCAAAAGAGAGAAGTATGGGGAGAATTAGGAATTTTTCTGGGGAAGAGAATGGCCATGGAGAAAGTGAGTGTTTTGTGATTTATTGCTGGAAATGGTATTTTAGTGAAGGAAGGAAAATATTATGAACTGGATATGCAGACACACCTTCAGAATGCTTGTTTGGGATTAATCTTAAACATTGAAAAATTATAGACTCACATAAACAGTATTTCAGTACAATATCTTGAAGAATCTACTATCGACTTCTGTAATGAAGCACATATTGAAAAGATAGTGAAACCTCTGAAAAAACAATGTTTTTATCAATTCTGGAAAGGAAATTATATCTTTTGAAATTAAAATTCAGCATAAACAAATTACAATTGCACAAGCTTTGTGATCAGATATTGGGACTGGATCACAGTGTGTCCATATTTTGATCTACTTAAGGTAATGGAGAAAATTTCCAAAGAAAGTTCTGGGACAGTAGATTACGTGGGCATAAGTTAGCATAAGAAGTGGCTGGTTTGACCCAGCATGGTGGGGGTGAGGTCCCCTTGAGGCAGGAATGGATTCCCCCACTGAGCCCCTAGTGGCTCCATCCAGAGTATCAGCAAAAAGGTCTTTGAGAGCCATTGGGGGACCCCACAAACCGGCTGCCCCTTCTGCCATGGGAGGGCACAGGCAGCACTTGAGCGATCCTCTGCCGCCTCCCGGGTACATTAATCATGAGACAGAGCAGAAGAGAAGCAGCCTGGAACAGAACCTGTGCTCTGATACAGGAAGTGGGCATCCCAGGCAGCAGCTAGCTGCTGCCCCACAACACCTGCCCCACACATTCTTTCGACATCAGCCCTGGCTGTGAAGTGGCCTCAGTCTATAGGAGAAGGGAAAAGGAGCTTGCAAAGTTATTTCAGAAAGAAAACATACCACCTCTACCTATTTTCATTGACAGACAAATCATAGGCTAGGGCTTTCATCAGGGAAGTGGGGCGATGTGGTTCTTCCCCAGTGAGGGGAGAGACGATAAACCAGGGTCCACTTTCTGGGCATTACCTGTGTTTCTTCCCTCGTCCACAAGCAAGACACACACTCCCTCATGCAGGGTGACCAAAGTCCCCAACCACACCCAGCACCCTGTATCTGTCTGCAAAGTCTGAGCTGTGTCCCCTAGTCCCCAGCCATACCCTCCACCATGGCCTGGGTGTATAAATGTCTGAGCTGTGAGTCCCCTGATAAAAAGACCTATGAACTAAACCAATTTAAATCCCCCCTCCTGCTCTATGTTCAGGGAAGCGACAGGAAGAATATAACTGGGGGCCGGTGCCGCGGCTTACTAGGCTAATCCTCCCCTCTGGCGCCAGCACCCTGGGTTCTAGTCCCTGTCAGGGTGCCGGATTCTGTCCTGGTTGCCCCTCTTCCAGTCCAGCTCTCTGCTGTGGCCTGGGAAGGCAGTGGAGGATGGCCCAAGTGCTTGGGCCCTGCACCCACATGGGAGACCAAGAGAAAGCACCTGGCTCCTGGCTTCGGATCGGTGCATTACCGGCTGTAGCGGCCATTTAGGGGGTGAACCAACAGAAAAGGAAACGGAAAAGGAAGACATTTCTCTCTGTCTCTCTCTCTCACTGTCTAACTCTGCCTGTCAAAAAACAAAACAAAACAAAACAAAAAGAATATAACTGGGGAGTATTTTTAGGCCCTCCAAGCACACCCTGGGAATAGCCACCCCTTCCCCAGGAGGCGCTTGCCCCATGCTGTTGGCTCTGCACTCAGTAATGCACCTCCTTTTCCACCACCTACTTCGTCACAGAGACGGCCGTGGCAGATGTGCGCTCCCCAAGGGCACAGACAGCCTCTCCATTGTTCCTTCTTCTTTGGAGTTGGTTGAGTCAATTCCTACGTTAAGTTATGAAAAGTTCATCTCTCCTTTGGCCTGAACTGATGACTCTTAGCAAAACGATTCTCTTAAAAGCTAGATTGTTTCTTCAATCTTTCCTGGGAGCGGAAACAAGTATGTTTCAATAATGGGAGAGTCTACTATGGAGATGGAACTTATATTTTTGTTTTATATGAAGTCCCCTATGCACTCAACTTAATAGCTACTCTATCCACTTGTTTCACGTTATATGTGACTTGGTTCTGTTGCTAGAAATAACATGAAAAATAGCCAGAAATCAAATCAGCTGGTGTGCCCAGTGGACACCATCCTTGGCCCACATGCTCATTTGGTTAACACAGGAACATGAACATGGATGGAGTCTCACATCTTCTTGAGTCTGCTGCTCACGCTCATGCTCGTCAGCTGCTAGAATATAAAACTGTCTCCCAGTAATTCCCATGCACAGTCCTCCTCCTGCCCATACAACAGCATGCGATGGATAACCATTGTGTAAGCTGTGAGTGACCAGTCCACCCACCCTCACTGTGAGCTGATAATATTCCGAAAACCAGTAGTTATTGAAACTATGTTTTCACATAATACATTTTCTTTCTTGGCTCTCCTTTCAGTATATTTCATTGGACATTTTTAAAAAGTGTGTGTCACAAAGTAGGTGTGTATTTCTGGGTGTTCTTGGATCACTGAGATTGGACAGGCTACTGTTCTCTTATTCAGAAACTGCTCTTCCACTTTTTGCAGACTATACATTCACTTATTGGGTTCTTTTGTTGTATCTTTGTTTTTCTTCTTTTTACCAATTGCATTCCTGAATGGATTTTCTTGAGCAGCTGTCTAAACCCCTATTGTTTAATTGGCCATTTAGCATAATTACTGTGTTTATACATCCTTGATATTAGTCCTGCACAGATAAGATAGTCATGGTTGTCCAGCTGATTGATGACATTCTGAAAAGGACATAACCAAGGATAAAGCCAGTGGTCCTCTACCCAAAGCCACCTTTATACATTGACCTCTACCCATTAATTCCCTCTGAGTTGAGTTTTTCAATCAGCTACTAATCCATCATTTTGATCTTACACTTTTCTAAATGCCTGGTCTGACATTATTTGTTCTTTTGTGGGTCCGTATTCCTTTCTTCCTCTAAGGAACAACCTTTCAACTTTAATGATGTGTTCCTTAGAAAAGAAGGTATTATTACAGTCCACATCAGCAGGAAGCAGGATCTGCATCCAGCTTTTTGAGGTGTAATAATTATTCATTAAACTTCAGCAGACTTGCAGGGTTTCTATCTTTTGCTAACTTTTCTCTAATGTGTCCAAGAATACATTCATGAACACTTTTGTAAAAGATTTTAAGTATGTGACTGATGTGGCTTATGATTAATCTATCCAAGTAGATACGGAAATAGCTGTGTGCACCATTAGGGTTCCCTCCCACTACACTGGGTCTCCAACTCTCCCTTACTAGTGTCCATTCTGTTTGTCCCTATCTGGGAATGATTCTAGGAATTCTCATTCTCATTTTTTCATGTCAATCATCAACATAACAAACCCCAAACCATGTTTTTTTCCAGTCACTGCTGAGATTATCTGGAAAACAGCCATTATTTCACCTTGTCATTCTTGTATTCAGTGTATTTGCTGAATCCAGTTTAGACTAGAAAGACAGGTGATTTAAAGTTTAGGTGGTACAATAGTTGCATTAAATTGAAGGAAGAGTGATAGGTCCTGCCATAGAAAGAGCACTGAATGTGGGTTCAAGTATGAAGGGCATTAAAAACTAACTCCAAAAGTTCTAGTTCTGTGATTTGGTCAGTCATAAGATTCTCTTTAAAATCATCCATTTTCTCATATAGAATTCTGTAACAGTGAGAAAACCATACAAGCTTAAACTTTGCTAAAACACCATGTAAATGAGAAGATGAAGCATTTTGCTGCTGTTAGGTTGTTACTGGTATCAGAAAGCTGGTGGCAGATGTGAGAGTAGGGAGGGAACATGAAAGCAGCACTTGCAGACTGAAGAAGAAACAGACCCAGCGTGCTGAGTCCTTGTGGCAGTGCGGTAGCCTGTGTGTCTAACAGGCCGCCACCCTAATTCAGTAATTAAAATATGTTAATGATAAAGAGCCAATATTGACAAACTGAGTATGGAAATTTGATTTCTTTAGTTTTAATATCACACTAATTAATGTTCTGAGAAAATTTCAGTAGTTCTTTTTAGATTTATAAGTTGCTTTTCAAATTTTAAAAACAATTTTATACTATATTAAAATGGACTTATACTGTAAAGCTGAGAATGTGTTTTTTTCAATCACTGTTTTTGAAAAATGGATAGTAGATTAACTTCACAAAAAATACGAATTATTGAACTGGCTGATGACATATTTTTACTAGTTTTCTTAATGTTGGTAATTAATTATTTGTCATTATGACTATCATTTAAAATTTCAAAATATGAAGAAAATTTATACAAGAACTTTTAAAGACATTACTTTTGAGCCCAAATTATCTTAATCTATTTTCCATAGAGAGGTTTACCTAGAGAAATTTAGAATTTCTTGCCTATTTGTATATATTTTATTGTCCCATTGTAGTTTAAACTTGAGGACTGAGGGGAGTCACTGTTAATATTTCAATCATTATGAGACATCAAAAATAATAATAAAGATAGTGATAGTACAATGGCTAGTTCATAATCACTAATATTTAAAAAACAAGTTATTTCCTAACCGGGAAATGTGGTTTCATTTCGAAGACATTTAAACCATTTAAACAGAAGGGCTCTTTAATTGTATATTCATTAGAAGCTAATCCTATTCCTAAAATATTGCAGTACAGTTGATTTTTCATTCTGAGGCCTCTATAATTCTGTTTAAATCATCATTACTACTGTGCTTCAACCACGCTTAGTCACCTCATCATGATTATTTGATTTAGGCAAATTGCAGACTGTGTCGAGGCTTTGAGATGCAGTCACGCATACCCAAGTATCATCCGTGCGGTTCAGAGCTTCTGTACTCAGCATTAACCGTGTCAGCTTCCCAGCATCCCTGGGCGGATCAGCAAGCATGAAGATGCACGGCTTTCCTGTGTGAGGAGAGCAAGAGCACAAGTCATGCCCGTGCGCATCTGTGTGCGTGCACACACACTGGGTTCCTCCGCGGGGGCCAGCTTCTGCGTGAATGTACTTAGCTTCTCTTTCTCAGTACGTGGGGAAGGAACACGTCCTCCTGACAGAGATGAAAGGACAATTGTTTGGATTTTTTTGGTTCTCTTTCTTACTGTTTCCCAAATTAAGAGTTGGGAGCAGGGGCCGGCGGAGGCAGGTGGAGCTTACCACTCACCTCTCAGCGTATTTTGACTCCCTTCACTCTGCAGAGCCAACTTCTCATTCATTTGGCTCCTGTTTCTGTCTCGGACACAAAAATGGGAAAGCCATCTGGCTACAGATCTAAGCCCCATTCCCCAGTTAGCTTCAGTTGTAACTGAAAGAACATTTTGCTATACATTACCTTTCAAGTAACTCCATGATATTAGTGAAGAGGAAAACTATAATTAGTTGGCACCTGTTAGCTTTGTCAGTGAATAGATACTTTCACTCCCCTCTTGGTCCCTCTCTTTAGAAACGTTGATGGAGAAGTGGGCACACCACACTATTCACAAGAGGTAAGCAGTAGAAAATGGTTTTTTCCATCGTCACCATGCCAGAGATTGGGACCTGTGCCTTACAGAAGAGCAGGAAGTACCAGAAAGAAAACAGAGCAGAAGGCAGCCAAGTGATGGACAGGGATGGAAGCCACACACGCCTGATTGGTGTCCGTCTGTCTCCCTCACTTACATGAGCGGGGCACTCTCCACACTACTTTAGACAAACTTGAATTTGATTTCCATAATCTGCAACAATGAGTCCTGTCTAAACAGAGGCAGCTGTGAGTAAGGAGTGTGAATGACAGAACACGAGAAGTGTCACTGACGGTGAGGATGTGGCTTCCAGGTGAGTGACCACAAGCTCCCGTTAGCAGCGCAGAGCATCTGTGCGCCCTGCTACCCACTCTGCTCGCTACTGCGCCATTCTGAGGTCATCTTCCTCCTTCAGTAACTCTACAACGGAACACTTCACACACTATGCAGTGTAAATCCTCTGCACAAGTCTGTTTCTCAGTTGCTCAGTCTAATCATAGCTTGTTTTTAGAACTTTTCGACCCCTCCAAACCTTCATCATATCTGTGAGCAGTTGAGTCCCATCTCTCCTCAACTTGTCCCCCAGCCCAGATGTGGGCAGCTGCTAATTTCCTTCCTAGCTCCAGATGCTTGCCGACTCTGGGCATTTTGCTTCCCTGGGATCAGAGGCCAAGGTCTGTCCAGGCGTTAGAGTGCCTGCTGGGGCTTGGTTATGTTCAAACCACATTCAGTTCACTCATCCATCTGTTGAGGCACATTTGGATGCTACACGGTTTGCCTATTGCAAATAATGGAGCTGCATATATCTTTTTATTTCTCTTGAGTACAAAATTAGCAGTGTAATTGCTGTGTCATATGCAACTCTTTGGCTAACCTTTTGAGAATCTGCCAAATTGGTTTTTCAAAAAAGCTGCAACATTTTACAACCTTAGAGAAACATCAAAGATTTTTGCATTTTTTCCATCCTCTCCAACATCTGTTATTACCTGTGTTCCCTACTGTAGCCATCCCAGTAGACTTGAAGTGGTATTTGATGGGTTCGGTTTACATTGTTCTAAGGCCTAACAATGTTGAGTATTATTTCAGTGTGATTATTTTCATTTGGTTATTTCCTTTGGAGAAATATTGATTCTTATCTGTTGTCCAGTTTTTAATTGTTTTAATTTTACTTTTCTTGGTTGTACAAGCACAATGCAAGCCCCTTACCACATAAATGATTTGCAAATATGACAGTAAATATAAAATAAATTCTAAATTTATCTTTCATCACTTTATTTTTTAAGATTTATTTATTTATTTGAAAGTTAGAGTTACACACAGAGAGAAGGAGAGGCAGAGAGAGAGAGAGAGAGAGAGGTCTTCCATCAGCTGGTTTACTCTCCAATTGGCAGCAACGGCCAGAGCTGCGCCCATCCGAAGTGAGGAGCCAGGAGATTCGTCCGGGTCTCCAACATGGCTGCAGAGGCCCAAGGACTTGGGCCATCTTCTACTGCTCTTCCAGGCCATAGAAGAGAGCTGGATCAGAAGTGAGGCAGCCAGGACCTGAACCGGCGCCCATATGGGATGCCAGCACTGCAGGTGGCTGCTTATTCCGCTATGCCACAGCACTGGCCCATTTTCATCACTTTAAAAAATAACTGGAAATCTAAATGAAAATTATATGAATATACTAAATTGTATAGCTTATGTAGAAGCATGAAAGTTTGGGATTACAATATATGTAGAAATAAAACAGAAACTAAGGAATGGAATGAAGAAAATAAAAGTATAATGTTTGATTCTTCCACTATGGGTGATGTGGTATTTTTGAAGGTATATTATCATAGGTTAAAATGTATAATATAAATCTGGAAAATCATCTTACAGTATCTATAAACAGTACTATAATGGTGGCCAAAGTAGAGTTATGCAAAACCATCTTCCTGCTTGACCTGCCTGGTGGCCACTGTGCTGAAGGGCCATCCTGCTTCTCTTCCCTCGCTGTAGAGGCTGGAGCCCTTTGTTCTGGCTTGGAGGACAGCCCCAGACCCCGAGGGTGTTTTTGAGGTGTTTCCCAACTCGATTGGGTTGGGGACAGCAGGTGATCTAAGTGGATCCAATCAGAGACAAGCTCAGAAGTTTCTGGTGGTTGAAGGAAGAACCAGTCTTACTCCATGGCCATGCAGGTCTCAGAAAAGCCTCCTCTTCACATCTGGACGGGTTAGCCTCAGGATAAGGCCGTTAGGAAGACAAAGCGGAACTTGTGTGTGCACGTGACTTTCGGATGCTAATCACAAGTTATCCAAAAAGGAAAAGAGAGACTTTGCCTCACTGAGTCTGAGCAGAATACAGTCTCCCACGTGGTGCACTTGTAGGACACAGTCCTGGGGGAAACCAGGCTGACTGACCAAGGGAGCCCTCAGTCTTTCCTCTGCAAGTCCGGGGTGTCTGGGGGTCACAATAATGGCTACTGGCACCTGGGGGCCAGGAGGAGGACAGAGAAGGGACTCCACCTTTCAGAGAAAAAAGAGATGGGCAAGGATCTCTCAGACCCAGGCTGTCCCCAGGTGAGGGACAGCCACCTGCTGACGCAGGTCCTGGAAGGAGTGGCAGGTGCGGTTTATTATTTTGTGTCGGTCGTAACTCATCCTTCCTGGATGTACTTCAGGCAGCAGTGACATTGTTACCTCTGACTGTTATCATAGGGAGGGACATTTGGAACTAAAGAGCACCTAGCACCTGGGGAAAACATACACAATTCCCTTTATGTGGGCAGGCAAACTTTCAGAGAGGGATTCTGTGGCCCTGTCCTAGCCTCTACCATGTAGGGAGCTAGAAAAACTCCATCTCCCTAGGGAGAGACCAGGCCTGGTATGTATGATGAAATGGGGGATGTTTAAATTTCTGGTGGAAGATTGGAGCCCTCCATCTTGAGGATCGATGACGTGACAGTGTCCGTCATTGTGTTGTGTCTGCTGTAGAGAAACAGCACGTGGGAGGAGTGGTCCCTGGGACATGGTGCAGACTTCTGTCCCCACCACATCTGACGTGAGGCTACGGTGAGTGGCTTGGTTCATTTGAGAGCCTCCTCCTGGTTACACTCAGGCACCAAAAAGACCTGAATGCAGGAGAGAGGTGGGGGCTGCAAAGCCTGGGTCTGAGAGATCCTTGCCCATCTCTTTTTTCTCTGAAAGGTGGGGTCCCTTCTCTGTCCTCCTCCTGGTCCCCAGGTGCCAGTAGCCATTATTGTGACCCCCAGGCAATGGACTGGGGAGTTATTTTCTAAAGGAAGGACCAAGTCAGAGTAAAGACACACAGCTGCTCACAGTTCGGGTTCCCATAAGAATTGGCTCTCTTCCACCACATTAGGTCAGTTTTCTGAGTCAGATTTCCCGTACCTTGCTGTTTGAATACTGATGGAAAGATAAGGACCCCTGATATTTAAAGATACATGCCAATGCCACAGCGGTCCAGAGTTTTCTGGAACAAAGAGAGAATGAGACCCAGCTAGCAGAAGAAACAATTCAAGAGAATTTTAAAAATTCATCTCATTAATAAAATCATTAATAGAACTGATGTATACATGAGCACTTCACAGACTTTGTGGCAACAGAATTAAGAGATGAGTTGATTGTGGTGAAGAACTTTTAAAATGCCTCAGCTTTCTCATAACCTACACTTTATCTGACGTATTGAAGGCGTCTTGATTCTGTGACAGACCTTGTAGGAGGCAGCACTGAAAAGGAAAGAGGTAAAGAAAACGCAGAAGTTCACACACCTGACAAACAGGGGTCATCAGCAAAGAAGCAGAGAGCAAGGTAAGGACGGAATTCTCCAGAGCAGGGGTGTGGGGCTGCGGTTTTCGTTTCTGTTCCTGAGGACAGCGGGGAACTCCTGGGTATTTGTGGAAGAAACGGGATCACGGACAATGATGCGGCTGATGGCGCACGGCAGGACGCAGCTCCTCACCGACCGGATCCTCGCAGCGCGGGGGAGGGCTGCGTGCGCCAGGCGGACCACGGAGAAGACCGAAGAAGAGAAAGTGTGACGGTGGATTCCCACGCAGCGCAGGCCTAATCCCGCGGCGTGGGAGGGAAGCGACCCTGCCAACCGCGCTGAAGTCTCCCCGAAGTCGCCTCACGTTAGGGGATGTTCCTGTCCGCGTCGGTCGCTGGCAAACAGCAGCGCCTGGAGCCCGACCCCTCGGCCCCGGGGGACAGACGAGGGTCTGTGGCGGTGGCGGCAGCGGGCGAGGGGGTCCTGAGGGCCGCAGGGGTCCACAAGGACCCTCCTAGGACGGCGGGGCTGCAGCGGGGTCCACACTGGGCCTGCTCCGACGGCGGGAGAGGGGCAAGGGCGTTGGACTCGCGTGGAATCCGCAGAGACTAGGACAGGGAATGACTAAAACGGAGCGCTAGGCCCCCTGCGTGGCCGCCATCGCGGGTGAGCGCGCTCCAGCGATTGGGCGGACGTGTAACGGGTCCCAGTGGACACAGCGTGTGTCCAGCAGCCGCCGGAACTCCGCAGAGCCACAGCGGATCGCTAGTGAAGACGGCTGGCCAGGGCCAGGGCACCCCGGGTCTCCTCTGGCTCCGAGCCCGAAGATTCTCTGAGGGGAACGGGTCGGGGGCGATTCCCTAGGAAGCAACCCCGCAGAGCAGGACCTTGAGCAGCCCGCGGCTCGCCACCCACTTTCTGAGGAGCAAGGCCTTGAGTGAGGGTTCGTTCTGTCCTCCCGGAAGGTTCACAGTGTCGCCCTGATGCGCAACTGGGGGAGCTGAGTCTGCGCTTAGCCAGGACCCCGGAGACCCCCGAGCAGTCGCTGCTCTGCGCCGCTTCCTCCATTTCACCACACTCGCCACGAACCGCAGCGGTCCGTCTTTGCGCTAAAGTGATCAGTGTGTAGAGCTGGCAGGTGACTTTCCACGGGCCTCTCCATCTTCCTATGCAGTCTGAGGGCGAGGCATCCACGACTGGAGAAAAACAGGAGAATGGAGATCCCCCCACCCCAAACACACGCACACAGGAGCTGAAGTCAGGCTGGTTACCCCCTGCAGCAAGGAGAATGGTAAGGTGCTCGTGTGAGCTGCGTTTCAGGTAAATATGCCCCAAGTGATATTTGGGATACAACTATAATCAAAACCATCCGCTGTTTAGCAAAGATTCCAGTGTAACTGGGCACCCAGCACTGGATAGCCAACTTTACTTATTGTCCATTACACAGTCTGCTCCCCAAAGTTCGTCTTCCACAGCATAGCCCACCGTGTGTCCAGGTACTAACTGACCTCCTTACCACTGGCTTCTGGGAACTGGGCCCCAGGAAACCAGGCAGACGCCACCATTTCTGACCCACGTCGCAGTTTTCTGCCGGCATCTACGAGATGCGCTAAATCAAGTTTCAGACCCAGCCTGGTTCTGGGTGTCTGCGTCCTTCACTCAAGTATAAAAACCTTGACTGCAGGACCATTTGTTTTGTTTAACACTGTTTCTGGCATGTGGCCAGTGCCTCGCACTGGGTGAGTAACTATTGGAAAGGTGAGTGAAGGAATCCTTGAATGAGCTGTCAATCGATTTTCACTGCTGAACTCTGGGGACCTCTGTCATGCAGATAGAATACATTCCTTTGTGTGCCTCTAGCACTATCTTTCCTCCATCCTTCCTCCTGTTTTAATCTGTATTTTATCTTTCTCTTCATCTCCTTCTTAAGCCCCAGCTTCAGAGTTATCTACAGCCCGGTGTTGGTCCTGTCACTCAGCTGTTCTTGCATTCAGAACTTCACAGGGTTTGAATGCGGGCACAGGAATTGAATTGGTGGGGACATCTGGGAAACCATGATAGTGGGCCTCAAACTGCATCTCATTCCCAGAGTTCTCATCCCAGCTCACAGATGCACTGCACTGGGGCATCCTAGCTACCCTAGTGACAAAACTGATGTCATTCATTTATTTATTTTTGTGAAGAGTTATTTATTTATCTGAAAGGCAGAGTTACAGAGAGGCAGAAGCAAAGAAGAGAGAGAGAGAGAGTCTTCAATCTGCTGGTTCACTCCCCAAATGGCCACAGTGGCTGGAGTTGGGCCAGTCTGAAGCCAGGAGCCAGGAACTTCTTTCAGGTCTGCCACATGGATGCAGGGCCCACACACTTGGGCTGTCTCCCACTGCTTTCTCAGACCACAGCAGAGAGCTGTATCAGAAGTGGAGCAGCTGGAACTTGAACTGGTGCCTATATGGGATGCTGGCACTGCAGGTGGAGGCTTTATCTGCTACGGCGCAACACTGGCCTCAAAACTGATATCTTAATGTGACAGTGAATGATCTTTTGATCACTCAGACCAGAATTAAAAACAATTTTTCTTTGAAATATTTTAGTCCTGATCCCTTATTTCACAAAGGAAACAAATAAGCCTAGGAAAATGAAATGCATCCAAATTTACAAATCCAAAGGTTAACTAATCTTTTAAGAGTTTTTGAGATATATAAAGAAGACATGGCACATGAATGCACACACACAATAAATATGACCTAATTACGGAATTGCTCAAGGATATATCTATTCTTCTCTCTCTCTGTGTCTAGGGCTATCTCTAGCTACCTAGCTATTTGCCTATAGCTATCATCTGTCTGCCTGCCCAATGAGTGAATTTCAATAATTATACATGTATCCATATATATGCATATGTATTTCATTCTTTTGAATTATATAAAAAGCACATAATTTTAAAAATAAGTAAAAGTATTGCTGGTCTCTGATTTTATCTACCAATGAATCATCAAACTGTATTTTTTAAAGATGGTCTTATAAAACTACTTTCCTTTTTTCACAACAAATCTGAAAGAAACAAACTTGTTTGCCAACATAATGTCCAAAATCTATCATAACTGTTTTTTCCCCAAAGTTAATCCTATGGGCAGGAATAGCTCTCCCAGGTCCCCATGTGTCCTTGAGGCCCGGGAGAGTTTGGTCACACTGTGCCCTTCACATGCTTCCCCTGGGTATTCTGTGGCTGATTTATCACAAGCACTCCGAGATTTTAAATCTGTTATTTGTTACGTCATATGGCTGACACAGAGCCAGTCTGAATCCAGTTCTCAACCAATATTGAATGACTTTGCTTTTGAATTTAGACTTTTGCAGAGGACAAGGGTTCCCAGATGGGGTTTAGGCATCAGATGACCATGAGCAATTCTTGTTTTTAGTTCCAGGGACTTTGAATTGATTGTAAAATACACAATTGCTGCTTCTTATTTTTATTTGATAAAAATATTAGCAAATGTATTAACTCCACAAGAAAATATCTTTAAACAGTCTAAGAATATTGGCTAAAAAGAAACTTAGGCATGTCTGTCTTTTATTCTTTCAATTCTCCAAATGTTTTTGAATAATTATTTTAAGTTGTGAAAAATTGGTTATGTAATGTATAATAAAACACAGATTTTTGAAGATAAAAGTTTAAGTTTAAGTTTAAATTAAGTTTTACTGACATAGATAATTTGCAAAAGTGGCATTCATCAGGCATGGTCATTGGAATAAGATTTACAGTTGTTTTTCATTGCTGAGTCATTTCATTACGGAAGTAGCGCTTAATTGTTCGACTCTTGACTCCTGGATTCTGATTTGCTTCGTGCTGGAAATGACTCCGTCAGGGACTCTGGGCCCATACAAGGAGGTGATATAGGAAGGTCCTGTGCCCGTGAATGGGGCCTTTTATGAAGTCAGATGCCTCACACAGGAGGAACTGCTACCTGTTAAGGCACCTTCTCCATGGCAAGTGGGTGCTATCCACGTTACCACCACTCAGCAATGCCCCTGCAGATTCCTGCTGGTCCGAACGTCCTGTGCATATCCTTCCTGGTGACCTAGAATCATGTCACATTCAACACCGTCCTTGGACAGCACTCCCTCAGACCTTGTAGGGCCAAGCATTTTAAGTTTGGCTTTCCTCTTGCTTTATGGGAAATGAACCAAGGCCAATGGAGCTGCCTGCCATGCTGTACCAGGAGGTCGCTGAGGGGCGGTCCTGAGGTGGCAGGTGAAGACCCCAGATCACTCTGGCTGCGGTTTGTAGTGTGGATGAGAGAGGGGAGAGCAGGGGCACAGAAGGATCAGTTAGGAGGGAAAACGTCAAGAGAAGAGGCCGGAGAAGGACGCAGCTTGTTTCCACTCATTTTCCACACGTGGTGCCATGCTGCTGCACACGCCCACCGTCCACGGTGCTTGCTCTAGGTCACACACAAGTGTGCGATGTTATTTTTAAGTGCTTAAGAAGATAATATACTGTTTGTGTATGTTAAAATTATCTCATCAGTATTATTCTTAAAGGAAAATAAAGAATAAAATCAAAGTCTAATATGTTGGTGGCTCATCTTCCTTTAAATATTGGAGGAAAATGCGATTCACTCTTTAATTTATTTATTTTTGGATTTATTTGAGGAGCATAGAGAGACAGGGTGCAAGCAAGCGCCTGTCTGCTGGTTCACTCCTCAGATGCCCACAAGAGCCAAGGCTGGGCCAGGCTGAAGGCAGGAACTGGGAATGCAACCCAGGCGTCCACGTGGGTGGCAGGGACCCAAGTGCTTCAGCCATAATTGCTGCCTCCGAGGGCCTGCATTGGCAGGAGCTGGACAGGGCATTGAGCCCAGGCGCTCCGATTTGAGATGGGAGCATCCCAACCCCCAGGCTGGCCACCCACTCCCTATTTATTCTGTAAAAGCAGTCCATGGGGACCTGCTGGACTTGCAGTTGTTGTCGAGGGAGCCAATGTTTGATGGAGGTCGGAGGTGTCCTGGGCCATGGGTTGTGAGTGCTGGCGAGGAGCTGAGAGGCATGTGCTGGTTGCAGCCCTGCAGAGAGAGCACTGTCCCCCCGACACCACGGACACCACTGCAGCCTGAGCCTGAGGCCCTGAGCACTGCTTCAGAGAGGGGTAGTGAGCTACCGCCCTGAGAGGCTGATGTCACTCAGGAAACTTTAGTTCAACATGGATTACTTTTCATGTAATTGTATACTTTTCATGCTATTTAGCAAAACAAACAGCCACAGTTGCTTATTATTTATTCATACTTGCTCCTAGAAGACTGGATTTTCTGATGCCCTCATTATAATTATCAAATGAAATGCCAGATGCCAAGTCAAGTATGAGTTTCACAAAAATAGTGATTTCTTTTTCAGCCTGAGTGTGCCTGAAATGCTGTGTATCTGCTACCAGGAGTCTGGTAAACCAGGTGAGAAGCTTGCCTCTACAGTGAACAAAGCCTGACCCTTGCAGGGTCAGCAGAGGGAGGAGGCCTGTGTGTGAGGGTACAGACGGAAGTGGTGGTATCTGTGGCAGTGTTTCTCATGCAATTATTCATCCCTGTGTGAAGTAGGCAATTCTAGTGGGTTTGCCCTTGTTGTTATTCACCAGTTTTAATAAGTAATGATAAGAAGCTACATGTGCTGGATTTTAGCTCTGTACCTGTTGTAAGAATTTTCTATGTATTAGCTCATCTGTCCCTCACAGTAAGGTGTGCACAACTCTTAGCTTTATTCAATCTCTGAAACAGTGAGGCTCAGAGAGGATGAGTTAATTTTTAAGGCCACAAACCTTGGGCAGAATTTGGAGCTGCATTCAGCCTGGGGCTTCTTCGGCACAAAGATCCTCAGCATCTCCCTGTGGAGTAAAGATGTCAGCAGGAGACGCTCATGAGGAGCATGGCTGTTGCCTTTGTCCAGTATGGATGCAAAATGTGTGCTCAAAAGACACCCACACGTTCATGCACACACACGCATGCTCATGCATACACACACATGCATGTACTCACACTTTGAGGAGCAGTGCTCGATCTGATCTATTTCACTTGTGTTACAAAATGCAGTTTTTAAAGCACAAAAGTGGCCGGCGCCGTGGCTCAATAGGCTAATCCTCCACCTTGCGGCGCCGGCACACCGGGTTCTAGTCCCGGTCGGGGCGCCGGATTCTGTCCCGGTTGCCCCTCTTCCAGGCCAGCTCTCTGCTATGGCCAGGGAGTGCAGTGGAGGATGGCCCAGGTGCTTGGGCCCTGCACCCCATGGGAGACCAGGAGAAGCACCTGGATCCTGGCTCCTGCCATCGGATCAGCGCGGTGCGCCGGCTGCAGCGGCGGCCATTGGAGGGTGAACCAACGGCAAGGGAAGACCTTTCTCTCTCTGTCTCTCTCTCTCACTGTCCACTCTGCCTGTCAAAAACAAAACAAAAAAAAAAAAAAAAAAAAAAAAAAAAAAAAAAAAAAAAAAAAAAAAAAAAAAATTAAAGCACAAAAGTGCCTTACTGGCTCTGTGCATGAATCTGAGGAAGGCAAATGAGAACCCATTTTTATTATCTGCAGTGTTTGTCTATATCTGAAGATACAAACAGCAATACAATAAACCAACGAATTAAGAGAAACCTGAGGGGTGGCACACTTGGTTAATCCTCTGCCTGCGGCACTGGCATCCATGTGGGCGCTGGGTTCTAGTCCCGGTTGCTCCTCTTCCAGTCCAGCTCTCTGCTGTGGCCTGGGAGGGCAGTGGAGGATGGCCCAAGTGCTTGGGCCTCTGCACCCGCATGGGAGACCAGGAGGAAGCACCCGGCTCCTGGCTTTGGATCGGCACAGCACCAGCCATAGTGGCCATTTGGGAAGTGAACCAACCACTGTCTATAACTCTACCTGTCAAATAAAAAAAAAAGAGAGAAACCTGAGGCAGTGTGGCTTCTCAAAAGACAAAAGTGGGGCTTTGCTAAGTCTGCTCTTGACATTCTCTGAGAGCATACGTGTGTGTCTATGTGCACATGTGTGTGCATGTGCATGTGTGTGTACTTGTGTGCACACACACACACAAGAGCGTGTTTGGGGTGAGCATGATTGTGGAAGCTTTGTCCCTAGCATACTAGCCACTGGGATAATGGATGTTCGAGACTTCAGGTGTCAGAGAGACATGGAACTGAGCTCTGGAACCCGCTGCAGGGGTACCAGTGCTGCTCAAGCTGATCACACGTTTGCCCCCTCAGACTTGAGAATACACAAGATGCCCTTAACTCGTGAGATTCTGTAAGATTGCACAACAGGGTTTCCTAACTCTAGGCAGGTGCATCACTGATATGTCATGACTTCTAGTTTCTATTTTTAGTCGCTGTACCCAATTTTTATTCCAATTAACTGTGTTTTCCAATGAGAGTCATTATTTCTCCAGAAACACAACTTAGACATCCCTTCTCCTCTAGGGGCCAAGCAGGAGGCTCAGAGGCAGCACTGACTGACCACTCACCAATCATTTGCATGAGGTCAAGCTAGATACAAAAGAGCCCATGTCGGGGCTGGCGCTGTGGCGCAGTGGGTTAAGGCCCTGGCCTGAAGTGCCGGCATTCCATATGGGCGCCGGCTCTAGTCCCAGCTGCTCCTCTTCCAATCCAGCTCTCTGCTATGGCCTGGGATAGTAGTGGAAGATGGCCCAAGTCCTTGAGCCCCTGCACTCACGTGGGAGACCCAGAGGAAGCTCTGGGCTCCTGGCTTCAGATCGGCACAGCTCTGGCCATTGCGGCCATCTGAGGAGTGAACCAGCGGATGGAAGACCTCTCTCTCTGTTTCTACCTCTCTCTGTAACTCTGTCTTTCAAATGAATAAAATAAATCTTTTAAAAAAAGAGCCCATGTCATTCTGAGTATTTAAATTGTGTGTGCTGAGGGCCAGTCTTGTGTTCCCCAGCTGTGTGGTTCCTACTCCCAGCTGGGAGGGCTACCCCTGGCCACAGGCTTAATTTACACAGCCTCATGGGATTAAGTGAGATGGTTCTTGATGATGGATTGATGATACTGAAGAAATTTAGAAAAATTCTGAACACAGGTGATGGAAATTATAGAGTACTTCCAAAACTTTGTAGAAAATGGAATTACATGGCACATTTATTTTGGAGCAAAAACAATCTTGAAATCCATGCAGATCGTGGGTCTTTACAAAGTTCATGGGGGGTCAGTGTCGTGGTGGAGCAGGAAAATCTGCTGCCTGCAACACCGACATCCCATAGGGGGGCTAGTTCATGATCTGGATACTCCATTTCCAATCCAGCCCCCTGCCAATAGCCTCGAAAAAAGCAGCAGAAGACGACCCAAGTGCTTGGGACTCTGTCACCCATGTTGGCTCCTGGCTTCAGCCTGGTCCAACTCTGGCCATTGTGCCCATGTGGGGAGTGAATCAGTGGATGGACCATCTCTCTCTCTTTCTCTCTGTAGCTATGATTTTCAAATAAATAGAGTTTTAAATAGTTCATAGAAATGCAAATTATGAAATCATTATGTCTGGATTCCAAAATTTTTTTCACCAAAATAACCTATTTTTCCGTAAACTCTACTTTCCCATTAACTTTGTGAAGCTCACTTGTACTAGGACTCAGTTCTCAAACTTGGCTCCATGTGGAGGGAAGCAATTATAGATCATTTACCAGGAAGTTTGAAGTGGTTTTCTAACTCAAATTTAGTTTATTTGTGTGTATTTTAAGCAACTTAAACCTGAAGAATAGGCCATCTTCCCACTTAAGGATTATAAATGTGCTTTGCCATAGATTTATACTCAATGGAGTCATATTAATATACGTCTCATTTATTAGATATTACATGGAAAGACAACATTGCTGAGAGCAAAAGAATGAAGATGCAGGCAATAAAATAAATTTTCCCATGTGACACTGATTCCTGGAGTCACTTGTTTATTTACTACTTATTGGGTATAAAGTTTATCAGGTTTTAGTATTGCTGTATTGTTAACTCTGTATGAGGTTACTGGAATACAAAATTACACAGTATTTTTTGCTTGTCTAAAATAGCTGAAAAACTAGTGATTCACCTGTGAGAAGCCAGTAAGGAATAACAATACAAGGAAAACGTGAATGGTGAACATGTCAGGCACATGGCAGAGGCCAGAACAATGACATTGTCACCTGAAAAGTTCACAGCAATGAGGAAATTAAACAGTGAGCACACGATCAAAAGCACGCACATGAACGTCGCATACATGAACAGTAGCACACACATGAACATTTGTGCACACATGATTAGCAGCACACAAATGAACATTGCACACATGAATGGCAGCACACACATGAACATTTGTGCACATATGAACAGCAGCGCACATGTGAACAACATGTCTACAAACAATTGTGCATATGCACAGCACACATGAGCAATAGTGCACATATGAACAGCAGCATGCATATGGACACTGTACACTCATGAGCAGCAATACTCATAGGAGCCATAGTGCACACATGAAAATCACATATGTGGGGGCCAGCACTGTAGCATAGCAGGTAATGCTGCTGCTTGCAGTGTCGGCGTCCCATATAGCACCAGTTCGAGTCCCAGCTGCTCCACTTCCAATCCAGCTCTCTGCTGTGGCCTAGGAAGGCGGTGCATGATGGCCCAAGACCTTGAGCCCCTGCACCCATGTGGGAGACCCAGAAGAAGCTCCTGGCTTCAGATTGGCACAGTCCCAGCCATTGCAGCCATTTGGGGAGTGAACCAGTAGATGGAATACTTCTCTCTCTCTGTCTCTTCCTCTCTGTAACTCTGCCTTTTAAATAAAATAAATAAATCTTTTTTAAAAAAATCACACATGTCACTGTTTCTCAGTGACTTGATCAGCCCTTGTCCTGACTGTTAATGTACAATGTAATACTTTATCCCATTTAGTATTTTTTTTTGTTCTAGTTAATACTATTAGTTGAACTCTTTAATTAACAGGCTATTATTCTTAGGTGTTGAAATTTAACTGAAAAGTGATCCCTATTAAATATAAGAGTGGGGATAAGAGAGGGAGGAGGTGTACAATTTGGGACGTGCTCAATCGGACTTGCCCCAAATGGTGGGGTTAGAAATGTGCCAGGGGATTCCAATACAATCCCATTGAGATCACATGAACCAATGCCATCTCACTAGTCCAAGTGATCAATTTCAGTTCACAATTGATCACACTGATAGGTGTAAGAGTCAAAGGGATCACACAAACAAGACTAGTGTCTGCTAATACTAACTGATAGAATTAAAAAGGGAGAGAATGATCCAACATGGGAAGCGGGATACACAGCAGACTCATAGAATGGCAGATGTTCTAAATAGCACTCTGGCCTCAGAATCAGCCCTTAAGGCATTCGGATCTGGCTGAAGAGCCCATGAGAGTATTACAGGCATGGAAATCCAAGACACTCTGACAAAACAAAAAACAAAAAACAAAAAACAAAAAACAAACCACCTAAATGAAAGATCTCTGCGAGTGAGATCCCAGTGGAAAGAACGGGCTATCAAAGAAGGAGGTACCTTTCTCTGAAGGGAGGAGAGAACTTCCACTTTGACTATGACCTTGTCTAAATAAGATCGAAGTCAGCGAACACAAGAGGCTTCCATAGCCTTGGCAACTCATGACTAGAGCCTAGGGAGATTTCTGATGCCATAAACAAGAGTGTCAAATTGTTAAGTCAACAATAGGAGTCACTGTGTACTTACTCCTCATGTGGGATCTCTGTCCTTAATGTGTTGTCCAATGTGAATTAATGCTATAACTAGTACTCAAACAGTATTTTTACACTTTATGTTTCTGTGTGGATGCAAACTGATGAAATCTTTACTTAATATATACTAAATCGATCTTCTGTATATAAAGAGAATTGGAAATGAATCTTGATGTGAATGGAATGGGAGAGGGAGTGGGAGATGGGAGGGGTGGGTGGGAGGGAAGTTATGGGGGGGGGGAAGCCATTGTAATCCATAAACTGTACTTTGAAAATTGTATTTACTAAATAAGAGTTTAAAAAACTAAAAAAATCACACGTGTTAACAGCAGTGTACACATGAACAACAATGTACACACGAACAACAATGCACATATACACAAAAGAAGACATCAGAGAGAAATTAGAAAGTACCCCAGACAGATGGAGATGAGAATACAACTAGGATGCAGGCAAAACCGTCCTGAGACTGAAGCTTGTAGCAATAAATGTCTGCTTACAAAAGCCTCAAACAAGCAGCACAGCTTCAGACCTCAAGTAAGCAGAAACACGGGGGCTCCCTGGCCTGCCGCCTCTCCCCAAATGAGCAGGAAGGAGCCCACGTCGAAGCCAAGAGAGAAGCAGAACACTGTCCCTACCCACAGAGTCGCAACGCAATGAATCCAAACAGATCTTCATGAGACGCTTTATGATACAACTGCTAAAAGTTAGAGACAGAAAGCGGATTTTGGAAACAGCAAAGGTAGGCCAGCACCGTGGCTCACTTGGTTAATCCTTTGCCTGTGGCACCAGCATCCCATATGGGCACCAGGTTCTAGTTCCAGTTGCTCTTCTTCCAGTCCAGCTCTCTGCTGTGGCCCAGGAGGGCAGTGGAGGATGGCCTAGGTGCTTGGGCCCCTGCACCCAGATGGGAGACCAGGAGGAAGCATCTGGCTCCTGACTTTGGATCAGCACAGCACTGGCCATAGTGGCTATTTGGGGGATGAACCAATGGAAGGAAGACCTTTCTCTCTCTCTCTCTCACTGTCTAACTCTATCTGTCAAAGAAAGAAAGAAAGAAAGAAAGAAAGAAAGAAAGAAAGAAAGAAAGAAAGAAAGAAAGAAAGAAAGAAAGAAATCAGCAAGGGAATAGCAATTCATTGTATACAAGGAAAAGCATCAGTAGAATTTCAGCAGAAATCTTGCAGGGAATAAAAAAGTGTTTTAATAAATTCAAAGTACTGAAACAAATAGCTAACCAGACAAACGCTGAACACAAGACACGCCTTACAGGAAACGCTCAAAGGAATGCTTCAAATCAAACCAGAAAGACATTCAGCATGACCGTGAATTCATGGTAAGTATAAAAGTCATTGATGGTGGCTCGCATTTTGGCATAGCACGTTAAGCCACTGTCTGCAGCACCATTTGGGTGTCAGTAGAGCCGCGGCTGCTCCACTTCTGATCCAGCTCCCTGCTAATGCACCTGGGAAAGCAGTGGAAGATGGCCCAAGTGCTTGGATCCCTGCACACATGTGGGAGACCCAGGGGAGAACCTGGTTCCTGGCCTCAGCCTGGCCCAGCTCTGACTGTTGTGGCCATTTGGGTGGAGGACCAGTGGATGGAAGATCTCTGTTTATCTGTCTCTCTCTGCCTCTCCCTCTCTATAATTCTGACTTACAAATAAATAAAATAAATCTTTAAAAAAAAAAGTCATTGATTGGGCCTGGCGCTGTGGTACAGCAACTTAATCCTATGCCTATGGCGCTGGCATCCCATATGAGCGCTGGTTCAAGTCCCGGCTGCTCCTCTTCCCATTCAGCTCTCTGCTATGTCCTGGGAAAGCAGCAGAAGATGGCCCAAACCCTTGGGCTCCTGCACCTGCAGGGGAGACCTGGAAGAAACTCCTGGCTCCTGGCTTCAGATCTGTGCAGCTCCGGCTGTTGCAGCCATTTGGGGAGGGAACCAGCAGACAGAAGACCTTTCTTTCTGTCACTCCCTCTCACCGTCTGTAGCTCTACCTCTCAAATAAATAAATAAATAAATAATCTTTTAAAAAAAGTCATTGATCCAGGTAAGTATGTCAACAAACCCAGGAGCTGTATTATCAGTATCATTGTAATACAAATGGGTAAATTAATTTTAATTCCAGCCAAAGAAGTGAGGTGACAGAAATATTAACAGTAACCACAGTTGAGAACTAGGGTAGCTGTATGAGAATGGAGACACCAACGTGAGGTGCACGAAGTCTGAAAATGACTCATTTCCATCTGTCATCCAAGTCGTTGTCAGCTCCGGTAACCAAGCATCAGTGTTCCTGTACTGCACCACCTCTTTAAAATGCAACACTTTTGATTCTGAGATGGATCAAAATGCAAGTGATACTCTGAATTTAAAGGATATCTATAAATATGTGTACATAGCATGAGTTTATACTCAGCAGGGAAATCATAATGAAAAACTCCAGCCATGATTTATAGTGATTCTGTCTTTTCTTTGGCTTTCCGATTTTGAAGTTTTAATGATTCAAGGCCTGACAGACTAAGGCAGAGGGAGAAAAGCGGGCCGTCATTGCAGACACGGCTTCCCCTTAAAGGGCAGCTCGACACATCAGGAGGGCCCTGGACCCAGGATTTCCCAGCTTCCGGAGCATGAGCCCACACACTTCTGATCTTAATTGATGGTCTCTGTATTATTCTGGTGCTTCGCCCCAGACGTGAGCCGGCATGTTTCCATTCGCCGCTGTGGCCACGCTGTTCTGCTGTAACGGCACAGAGGCATTGCTTTCCCCACAATGAGCACGTGGAGCGTGGAGGCGATGCCGGCGTTCAGCACTGGGTGCGTTCTCAACGTCCTGTCGTGCACGTCAGTTACTCTTAGAGACTGGGAAGTATACTCTTGCTATCATAAAATCACTCTTCCATAAAATGTAGAATATGACCCGCCCTGCTTTGTCTCACGCCCAAATAAGGCATGTAGCAATAAACTTCTGAGCCCCGGATTTGACATAATTTCTCCTAGGAAGTGTTCTAACGTCTCAGCTACCTCATTCTCCAAGTTCAATGGGATTTTATGATCAGTCTGGCAATGTTACAGGAAATGGCCATTCACTCCAGAGTAGGAAAACAAAACATTCTAGTTTGTATGGCTTATTTGCCAGTTCACACTGAAGTGCTTCTACAGAACAATTACCGACGTGCAGCCGTGTGTGGTCAGCATCATTTAGCCATTGTGCTGACCCGGAAGGCACGGGTGCTACACAGCGAAACCAGCAGAAAGGCCGCCCTCTCCTGCCCTATTTCCCTCTTCTCAGTCCAGAGGCCGTGTTCTGGCAGCAGATTGTGTGCTCTCAAGGAGTGGGACCAAGGGGAGTTGAAGGCAAAGTAATTGGGGAAAATGATCTAAGATCCCACAGGACTGCATTCAGACACTCTAATCCATATAAATATTTTATAAGCCTAATAATACCACTGCAATGCTCTCCTAACTTTGGGAGATTAATATAGCATGAGGCAGGGAGCAGCAAGATGGAAAACTGCTAATGATGTCCCAGTTAGCAGAGGCGAAATCAACGGTGTTTAACCTAGTAGTTTCTTTATGAAATCCACAAGTCTATGTGCTTGCCATTGCAGCTAGGAAGGTAATCTAAGGCCTTATCAGAGTGTGTGTCTGTCCTCAGGTGGGCTCTGGGTCAGCAACACTGATTTACCTAACGCGGATCTCGGCTCCTCTTCAGACGGCGTCAAGGCACATGCAGCGGACTCGGTGGGGGTCGGCAAGATGACGCAGAACCAAGAGATGCAGGAGGAAAGGAAGGGGCGCGGTCCTGACCTGGTTCAAGTAGCGGAGGCAGTGACATTGAAACGCTTAACCTGACAGTCCCAGATCAATTTTGTGACCAGGGGAATGGGTAACAGATACGTCCCCTGCTTGAAGATGGGTAGAAGAGTGTTCGTTTGAGGTGGTGGGGTGAGGAATTCATAACATCTCCAGAAGCAAGAACATTAGAGTAACCCCAGCAGGAAAAATGAAAAGCATGCAACAATAAACATTAGAAGCAAGTAAGAGGAGCAGAGTGGGGAGACCTGTGTGAATGTATGTATGTGTTCCTAAGGAGAAACTGTCCGGCTGTGATAGTCTTTATGGGTAGGGCT